ATTCCCGGAACCAAAATAAATAAATACATAAATAAATTTTTTTTTAAATCTTGAAAAATACAGCAAAGGACAAAAGTATTTTCACTCTGGCTTTCAAGGTATTTCCTTGAAAAAAAATCCTGGAATTCAGAATATATCTTAACAAGCCTACGATTTAACTCAGTGGTTCCACTGCCTGCCTTGCAAGTACAAGTTCCTGAGTTCGGTCCCCGGTCCCAAAAACAAAAGTAGCTGACAGAATATATCTTAACATTTTCAAGGTTTTTTTTAAATCCCTGGAGGATAATACTACCTCTCCAGCTTCTAATTTCCCTTCTTTCTCCATAGCACTTTGCTACTCAAAATCACCCTCAGTTTAGTAAATAACTAAAAAATATGGACCATTTACTCTTCAACCAATTCACCTCTGGAAAACAGAAGTTAGTTACATTTTTGTGAATAGTAAACTTCCTAGGAAAGCCAGTTATCCAGTTCTGATTTAGGATGCACTAAGTTATGGATAATTGTTTCAAGTGATATCACGAACTTATCTCAAAATGACTGATTTTAATTCACTCAGACTTTAAAATTAGTAATGCCAGGCACAGATGACATAAAATAAATGGGAAAGAAGAAGAATGTTGCTACAACTTTCCCAAATTTGAAAACCATTACCCGAGGTGGCACAAGAAAAACAGACTTCAATTTTATACCAGCCCTAAGCTCACATAATTGAAAATAAAATTGTTTTTCATCAGAACTGTACCTCAATAAAGTTTCCAACAAGTTAATATGTATATAGTTAGCAGATCTGAGCCACAGGAATAAATGACTCAATAATATTCTATATAATTTATCAGAGAAAAACTAGTCATCCAGGAAAATTAACCAGTTTAAATGACATAATTATTGACAAAAATTAAATGTGCATTGAACTGAGGAACCAATGACTATACTCTATATCATGCACTTTATTTAAAAGCCCTAGTGAATTTATACAAGCTTAAATGTATATAGTCAAGGCTGTTCCCACACACAGTAACTTGTGGATAAGTTTCTTGTTTGAGACATCCAAAAATTGCCTTTGTACGTAAATAATAATAACTGCAAATATCTAGCCTCCTATTACAAGGAATACTTTAACTTAACCATATAATTAGGCAATACAACTTGAAAAGCAGAAAATATAATGAGACAAACTATAGATGTGGCAAAATATAGTTATTAAGAGGATAAATTCTGGAGTCATGAGACCTGATTTAGAATTCCATAAGTTAGTATTAGCTGTGTGATCTTTATCTAGTTAATTAACCTATTTTAGTCCAACATGACTCAGGTGTATAATGGGATTGTAATAGCACTTACCTTGTGAAGTTGTTTTGATTGTTGAATAAGCCAACCCATGTAACATATTTGCATAGAAAACATTTAATAGGTGTTAGTTGTCATTTTGTGGTCATTATCATCAACAACATAGAAGGAAAATAAGACTAAAAAATTGTTTTAAAATTCTTTTTTCTGTATGGAAACATAAGATGGAAATTGTCTCCATGTTCACTGAATTTCAGAAAAAGAAAGGAACTCAAAGATATTCACATCCACATTCCATTTTTTACATGAAAAAACTGAAGATAATGAAAATGACATGAATTGTCCAATATCATACAGTTGGCTAGAAGTAAAACCCAAGATTCCTGACTCCAAGCCCAGGAACCTTCCTACCATGTCTTCCTAGCCACACCAACTCATCTTTGACCTTAAATTATTTGGTTTTCAGGAATGTAGGGTTGTGATACAGAAGACACAAGAATAAAACATGTTACTCCATTGAATTTACTTACTGACTTAACATGAAATATTTTGGTGTTATATAAAGATGAATGATGCTGCAAAGTAAATAATTATATAGCTTATTATAATGGAGGTTTGAAATCTTATTCCTGAGATACTCTTAAAATCAAAACATCCTCTTTATTCATTCTCAAACATTTTTGTCACTGCCTATGGAACAGGAAATATCTATTTTCAGAATGACTTAATTGCAATCTTGCCTAAAACTAGATGCCACTGAAAGTACCTTCTATTATCAAGATATTGTTCATTTGGGCCATTCATTCACATTATCTAATTCTATAGAATTCCAGGGGAAAAAAGTCTTGCTTTAGCAAGTCTCTAGCATCATTAAACCTGATATTGAGATAAGCTCCCCATCCCCATTATTTTTTTGATATTTACATGATTTAGTAAGTTCTTACTGCTTTAATGAAGAAACTGATCAATTAGTTTACAGTAGGAAGAGAAACAGGGACACTGGCTATCATTATAAATAAGAATTCAGAATTGTTCTTTGTGAAAGCAACCTTTCATGGCTTTAGAAATTAAAGCTGAGTTGTCATTCTATTAATCTCTGAATGCCCAAGCCATGCAAAACATCCTCATTATTTTTAATATGAACTTCTGCCCTTTATGTCCGGATTAATTTTCTTTATTATTTATTTAATTTTCAATTTTTGAAGCTATTTCATATATCCTGTAATATTTAGTGAGGATTGTATGAGAGAAGCCTCATTAATCTAGATGATCAATTCTAATAGTAAAAGCTCAAGTATGACTGGAAACAAGTACATTATAATCTGTGGAGTTAATGTACCATCTTCCCAATTAATATAAGATTAATATAAGTTTAACCAATTCCTTCATTTGAGAGCCAAACTAGTTTTGCATAAATATGTTAGCCCTTTAAATATGTATATCAGCTTCTACAAAAAGTAACCCTGTCTATATTAGTACTAATAAATATCTTAACGTGCAATGTGCACGCAAACATGTGTGTGAATGCATGCATGTGCAGAGATTATTTGGGTTAATATCTGCAAGTTTATAAAATTTAGTACTCTTTTATCATGAAAGCTACTCTACATGGCTAATAAGATTAATCAATTTTTATTTGCTGGTGCCATCGGATTTGAATTAGTTCAAGAGGAAAAAAAAAACTATTATTTATAGAAAACCTACCAGGTCGCAGCTGAGTATGTAAGCTGTCTTCTTAGAATGTTACCAATGTTAGCTCTAACCTAAACAAGCCAGTTTAAAGTAATCTCCAGTTGTGAGTAATTTAATATATTGCTGGTGGATATATAATTGTGTCTTAGTTACTTTCTCTTCACTGAGACACAATATCCAATGCCCATAACTTACAAAGAAGGGAAGGATTATTTTACCTAACAGATTGTAAAGGTTTCAGTCCATAGTCGGCTGGTACCAAGGCAAGAAAGCACAGCAGACAGCCATGGCAGAGGCTTCCTCGTGGCATGGGTAACATGATCCAATTAACCCTTATGATCCAGTCACTTCCCAACGCCCTCATCTATGAGTCTCGGAGGCCTTGGGGGAACATCTAATATAAACCATAACGAAATGGTACAACCACTTTGAAAAAATTTGGTCATTATCTGTTAAAATGAATAATGCACATAATCTATGCTTTAGGAATCTTGCTTTTTGTGGGATTCTAAAAAAACGCATTGCACAAGGATACTCATTGTAGTGTAGTCAAAATGTAGAAATAGTTCAAACCTTGATTAGTATTGAAATAAATAAACAAGCTATGAAACATGGAACATGACCATTTAAAAATGATTAAATAAGACATATACTTAGTATATAATACAGAGATATTAACTTGTAGAGTAATAAATATCAGCATCTGTACACAGATATTTGTGTAAAGATACACTAGCTGATAATAATAGTTATTTCTGAGTTAGCAATTTGAGTGGAGGGAGGATAGCTAAGGAAAGATTTTGCTTTGTCTATGTAAAGATTTATTTTAAGAATGTACTCATGCGTTACATATGCAAAAAGCACTCCTTTCTTTTCTGTATCCCTGAACATGTACTTCTTAGATCTGTGGACCAAATTCATGAATGTATTTAGAACCATTTTCCTAAACTAAAGAACATGTACTTATTCTGTTTACAATCTTTAATTCTCTGCATCTGTCTGAGAAATTCTCATTGTCTGCCAGCAGAAAATCTAGAGACACATTCAAAAAATTCTAGGAATATGGAACCTGCAGGGTTGCTGTTAATCTCAGAAGAAAGGGAGGATGGAAATGCTACAAATTAATTAACAACAACCAAATAAATAGAATGCAGAGCATTTGACAGTCTGAAAAAATGCAACATCCTGTTTTAAGAAAACATTTCATTTACATTATAGTTATGCTTCTGTATTAGGCTGTCAGTGTTTCCCTCATAAATCAATGATTCTCATTTGAATAATTATTTTCTTCTAAAGAAAATGTATTTTACCTTGTGGGGAAATATCTTGAATTCATTTCGATCACCTGTAAATAACCAGGAGTATGGGGAGATTGAGTAATGTTATCAACTCTTTGCACACTAATAGAACTATACAAGTTTAATGATTTGGTGAAATATATAAACAATGTGAAACAATCAATAACATATTTTTATCTAACAAATATTAGAAATTGAATTCTTTCACTTTTCTGGACCATTTTTTAAACATCAGAGTCTACTCTTTGGAATTAAACTAGTATCAGATGAGAAAAATCATAATTAAATACAACTTGATATGGTCTAAGGGCAATTGTTTTAGTCAAGTTTTCAAAGATGGTTTCTTATATTTAAGGAGTTTTATATTTAATGTTCTTATTTCATAAAAACTTGTATTTTGTTAGTTTCAGGCATACAATTACATTGGAGTTTATGTTAGCATAGTTCTCAAAGAAGAATAGGCACAATGTAACTGTACAAGGATGATATATTGCTGTGAGTGTTCTAAAAATATCTTATCACTAGATTATTTGCAAATATAACAAAAGAAACCAATAATGTGTTCTTTGGAAAGATGAATGTCATTTAAGAAAGGCTTGCATTATGCTCTTATTCCTAATGTTGTTATAAAAAATAAATGAAATAATACTTTGGGAATTTAAGACTTTCAAAGGACCCTGCTCAACAAAAATATTTGAACCTTGTCTTTTTTCTCAACAGGAACTCCATTCTCCAACTCTGAAAATATCAACTTGTGTGCCAAATAATTTACATATAACCCAAAGTACTGAACAGGTAAAAGAAATTATGGATTATATTAGCTTTTCTTCTTTTTATCTAAGTCTTGCTTATGTGTTTGAACAATATTTAGGCCCTCATAAGATTTTATGTATTCATGAAATGTCAGGACCTTTAAACAAAAAAGGAGATTCTCACATATAAAAAACAGCTCAACCTATTAAAGGATATTAAATGAGTGCAATGAATCAGATTTTTCAATTTAATTTCTATTCAACCTAATTGCATTTAATTTGAGTGGTTTAATTTTAGCCAAGAATTTTTTAGTGAATATGAATATTTTGACTCATCGATTTGAGAAATAAAATACCTAGATCTTGGATGGATTGAGGAAATTACTTTGTGAGTTACAGTACTTTATGTTTTCATTCAAAGAGAATAATTAGTATAACAGCCCTTCTCATAGGTTCATGATTTTAAAGACAAAGATCTCCATAGCCTAATAATTCCACCTTTAGTATGTTCTTGAATATAGACACTATGTTTCCAAGAAGTATCTACAATTATAATTAAATAGTATGCCAAAGATATTTAACTAATTTACATATATCAAAAAGCAAATTCTAAGAAAACTAAATTTAAGACTTGCAAAGTTTTGTGGAGAACAATATAGGGTATATAGAATTGAGAGAGTAGGAGGAAGAGAAGATTCTGTTTTAAGAGAACAGCGTGACCCAGATAAAATGCCATGGTGAGAACTTGGAAAGTGAAGAGGAAACAAATGAACAAAAACTGGTCTGTAGATCTTGAGCATCATAAGGAAAAGGTGAAATTATACAGAAAAAATATGATAATTACCAAAGAAATTTTCCTACCCATTTGCAAATTGGCCTACACTATATCTTAGCTAGTTAGAATCATGCAAACATTGACTGAGTACCAATTTTATGCCAATATTACACAAAGGTGAATTAGGTCCATTTACTATTTTCATGGAGTTCACAGGCTGACATGAGTTGTTTTCATGATAAACAATAGAACAGCAGAATAAAGATTACAGTTGACTTAGAGATGGCCCCTTATAAGATCACCATGGCAGAAAATTAAGTCTAGTTAAACTACAATTGATTCTACTCAAATATAATCAGAAAATTATATTAACTATACTATTTTAATAAAGTTTTTAAAATTGAATTTTCTATACATTTAATATTTGATAAGATGTTTATTATAGAAAAATTTAGATTTATAAAAGAATATCAAGAAGCAACAATAAACATCACTCATAATTCCCTCCCTCACTGAGATAATAACATTTCATTGTGTTTTTTCCGTTAAGAAACAAATCAAGTTCATACTATATATAGTTTTATATCTTCATTTTCTTGCTTAACTTTATAAAATGTTATAAGCTATTTCATGTAAATTTCTATTACTCAAGATCATTATTTAACAGCTATGCATTTTAGTCTATACATGATAACTTTTCATCCTATGTACATTTGTCAACATTATTACTTTTAATTATTTTCCATAAATATTTTCTACTGGCTCTAATTCCTAGTTTGGTTGAAAATTTTTTAAATTTATTAACCATTTGCTTTTCTTCTTTTATAATTGTGTATTTTTGTTATTAGTGTAAATATTTTTTTCTCATTGATGTATATGAATTCTTTATTAATGATCTTGACTTTTCCCACTAAAATTTACAAATGACTTAGTTTTCTTGTTTTGTAAGCATTTTAATATCACTTATGGCCTTCCCCTTCTGACACACTAAAGATATAAATGTTTAAGTGCATACGCACTTACATATACACACTTTTTTCTTGTAACTTCCATTTTAAAAATGTAACATGTTCTTTCCAAACTATTTATTAAAATATTAATTAAGCTATCATTTTCTAAACATATAATGGCACTTACAGTTAAAAACTGTTTTGAAAATTTCATCAGATATAGTTCATAAAGTATAGTGAATTCCTATGAAATTAGTCTAATAGAAAAATCACTGGCAGAATGCTTAGCAAACAATCATGCTTCTGTGTTTCCAAGACTAAAATTAACTGAATTAGAAAATCATGCATCATTCTTCCTGTAAATGATTCTTAACTTTCACTCTTAAATATGTTC